CACACACTGGCCACCACAATTGCCGCCATACATTGCAATCAGGTTGGTGCCAAGCTCTACTGGCTATAAATCAATAAATAACACAAGTGACAAAAGATTCTCCGTAGACTTGACCAAAAGTGGCTGCCCAGCACACTGCTGCCCATTATTAGGTATGAGCTGAGGAGCAGACTCTGCCCAGAGCCGCTTGGCATATATCACTGCCTATTTGCTGATTGTCATCACTTAAATGGCGGCTGGACAGTTTATTTAACTGCGCTGCTGGCGCACAGCTGGTCAGGCGTATATACATACATATGTATCTATGTAATATATACTTGGGAATAATATGTGAATTGATGTTGTCGACGAGCCCGGCCGAGTCGAGCCTAAGGAGGCGCAACGTTTTAATTTAATAGGCGCACATGAGGCTCGCACATAAAAACCAATTTCGCGCAAGTGATAAAAATGCAATGAGCATTCGCATTTGCTAGTGGCGTCTTCCCTAGACATATCTGTACGGCCCACGTTCCGACTTCCTATGAAGTAGACGACCACGACGGCGACAATGATGACGACAATAATATAACGATGAGTACGGAAGACTGATGCGGACGCAGACGGAGATGGAGACGCAGACGCAGACGTCGACATCAACGACGCGTATGAATTAAATTTACGATGGCGCAAAAGTAGTTTTGACACATATAGAACATGAATGTGGGATGTCATGGGCTGTTGTGGGGCTTACATACTCCTCTCAAGAGCACGCACGTAGTAGCCGAAAGTGTGAGCCATAAAACTTGACTAGCCACACATGAGACCCGCTTGAATCATAAAGTGGTAGCTAGGACTCTGCTGTAAAATTAATTGTTAAATGTTTTATGCCCACTGCAAGAATAATGCTTACAAGACGACGGGCTGCATATGCTGTCAATTCTTGGCAACCGACTCCAGCCAGCCCGCCAGCCAGCATTGCACTTTCAATCATCATCAATTTCACATCAAAGTGTCGTTTATTTTTGCACCCCAAACTCAACTGCAGTTGGGTGAAGCAGATCCCTCTTCTCCCTCCCTGCCATATCTCGTCAGTTGTAGTAATGACAAGATCATATCAACAACAGCGACAACAACAGCAACAGCAAATCGGTTGGCAACGATTCGTTCAACCAACAGACATGACTTTATTTCTACACTCTGAAAAATCAAATCAAATCAAGACAGAAATCCACCCATATTAGGAAATTCGTTCTCAAGCAGAATCAAATAAAGAAAACATAGAATACTTTTTTCTCAGAAAACGATTGTAATTTCAAAGTTAGTTTATTAGAAATAGGAATATTTTGTAAATATGAAAGTTATTTGCTTAAAAATAAATATAAATATGTATTCTAACATACTTATATGTCAACCTTTTCTGTTGCTAATACAATTTTTTACTGAGCCCAAGAAATTAAAGAATCTGTTTCAAATTGAAGAATTTAATGAAGAGATCAATATATGTATATAGTTGAAAAATATAATAAAAAGTTCTGACGAAATCTAAATATATATATTTTTTGGAAACGAAGCTCAGTTTAATTACTGTCCCTATGCTAACATGCATTTTAAAATTTACACCCTTCGTTTCTTTGCAGCTCTGAAAAATATTTTCAAATGATAATGACCAAGGGAAGTTAATTTCGAATTTCAATTTTTTTTTGACCAGTGTACACGTACAGCATGAAAGTCGTCTGACTGCCTCGGTTCCTGTTGATTTTGCTTTGTAATCGTAAGAGCGTTGTGTGTGCACATTTCAAGTTCAATTTCAAGTTTTCAGTTGCAAATCAATCAGCAGGCAGTCAGGTCGTGCTAGTCAAAAAGTCAGTCAGCCTGTCGGTTAGTCAGTTAGTTGGTGGTGTTCATTGGCGCCTCTGCTGATGGTCTTACAGAAAGACATATAACTAAATGGCCAAGGCGCCAATTGTCATGTACCTTGTAATTGCGAGCTTGCTTTAAATTGAATGTTCTTGCTCGTATTTCCTGTGCATTGCCTGTGATTGTATGGATGTTTTAAAGTTTTACGAGTTTTTTATAGTTGTCTGTAATATGAAGGAGGGAAAATAATGCTCAATCAAAATTTCATTCAAATTTTAAATTAACAAGAGAGAACGCTACAGTCGAGCAAACCCGACAGTGAAATACCCTGTACCCAGGTAAACATCCGATACTAAGGTATATGCGCCCATAGCAGAATCAAAAAGAGGAAGAAGAAGAGCGAACTTGTTGCTGCAGTTTGGGGGGGAATGTACAGGATAGAATTTGTTTCTCTAATAACTTTTGTTATAATTGACCGAATTGGATAAAATTTGAAACTAAAGTAGATAACTGTACATAGATTGCGTGTTTATGTAGTTTTTGGTTTATGTAGTTTTTGAAATGTGGACAGTATTGACGAAATTCTGTAATCTGGATACCAGCTTTGGTTATTCTAGCTTTAATAGTTTCTGAGATCCTTGCGTTCATCCAGACAGACGGACGGACATGTCTAGATCGATTTCTCTCGTCATGCAGATCAAGAATATATATACTTTGTGGGATCTGCCACGCCTCCTTCTGCCTGTTATATTTTCAGCTCCCGCAAACCTAATATACTCTTGTACATTTTATGTACAGAGTATAAAGAGTGCGATCATTCGGCGTAATTTTGTTTGCTGGCTTGCATTAATTTCAAAGAATAAGTTAAGAGAATAAGTTAATAAGATTAGGATTACCTTTTTCCCCACTACCCATACTATAGCATTTGTATTTTGATTTCTGATCTTATCAGATATTCAAATTTGAAATATTTGCTCCTTTTTTAGTGTGAAGAAGCTTTACAATGAATAGATTGTTGTTTAAATGCTTTGCAAATTATATGGCTTTTGTATCGATGTTCTTCAAGATTCCCACAACTTTATTCCGATAATCGATACTAACTTCAAAGAATAAATTTCATAAGTAGTAAGTATTTTCAAAACATGTTCACAAATATTTCATCGGCATATTAGTTCTGAAACTCAAAGACTAGCACTAATTATTCTAGCAATATCGTCCGACAAATATTCTAAAAAGTGGAAAATTTTACCACTTTTATCTTCCTTCAACGTATTTCAATTCAAATTTCAGCAACACACAAAATGTTTAAAAGAAAGGCGATTTCTGATTTAGGGTAGAAGCCACTATATTGTATGAAATATTAAAAATGCTTTTCTGAAAGAAATTAAAATAAAAATCAACGCTCTGCACTGCCGCTGGCCTTTGAAAATCAATAGCCATCTTCTGAACCTTGTTTGATTTATCACTCTATACAACCTGTTTTTTTCAATACCCGTCTTCTCTACCGCGCACTGACGTTGTTTCTAAAGGACCAAACCAAATATTTGCGCCTAAAATACACTTTTGGTTTGTTACATTGAATAAGAAATAAGATATACAACCTCCAATCTACTTACTTGTAAATACCACTCTTACCACTTGCCAAATATATACAAGTACATATATCCAATTGCCCAAGCCTTGCCTCCGGCCCTACAACTGTCAACAATTTGTGTCATGCTGCTCAAGACACTATAATTACCCGGTTGCTTGAACGCCCCACGTCCATTAAATGTCGAAGACAATTTGCAGAGTGGTATCGAAAACTGATTGAAAAGTTTTTACATAAAATTGACACATTTGTCTATTTGAGCGCAGTGTCAAAATAAAGTGGAGTAGAGTTTGCCTTTGGGCTTACAAAATCTATCTGCACATTGACAGTTCAATTGGCACCGTCGCCCGCTTTGAAGGTCGGGCAGGAAGGCCCTAATTGAAATTGACATATTTCAGTGTCTCGCTGGCTGGAAAGGCTGTGGCAAATTACTAAAGTAAATTTTGCAATTTTCATGATATTAAGTGCGCGGCACAGCACGTTGGGGATGATATTGTCATTGATTTGCTTTGATTCTCATTCGATTTGGTCGCTCGACTGGCGACTGCCCGTGGTGCTCGCTCATTGCTTTTATTTAACTTATTCTTGTATTGTGGAAACTCCACAGGATTTGAAATTGAATGCTGCAGCTTAGGCTTGTCGCTCCCTTCCTCTTCCATTTCTTTTTATTTATTTGTATTTTTTGCTGCATTTATGTACAAATGTATATATATTTTTTGTCACATCGAGGCGTTGAGCCTTGGCATTGAATGTGCATATATTTGTGAGGGCTTTAACAGGATTAGCAGCCTGTGGCGCTGATGAAAGCGCAAAAATCTGCCATACTTTTGAAGTTTAAAGCGGGAATTCTTTTCACACAACTCTATGGGCCTTGATAACAAAAAATATGCGAGAGCAAAACAAAATTGATAAAAAGAATGAATGAAATTTCGGCATTTGGCTTTGCCCATAAATTATTACGCAGTGCTGCAAACGACTATGAGATACTCTCTATGCTGTTGTTAGTACATGCTTGACTTATATAGATATTAATGTACATAGACATAATAATTGATATAATCCTGAAGCGCAAAAGATGTTTGTCAATATACGGTTTTCTGAGTAATATAGTTATTTTTGCAATAATGGTTCTTAAGAAGTGATCTTCATATGCATGCATTTACAAATAAAATGGTTTTTTATACTCTTAGTAACGGCCTTTATACACATCCTTTTGTAGAACAAGCCAAAATCTAATATAAGCTGAACCCACAATAACTTTGGAGGAATGCTTATACTGAGAATTATGTCTCTATTACTTATAATATCCAAGAACAAAGCGTTCATACTGACAGACAAAAAGCTCAAACAGACAAAAGACCTCATGCAGCTTTCGTTGCTTCTCTCCGTGTAGCATAAAGTGATATTCAACCTATGTGCTTCATTTCATTTTGCAGAGGAGAGCATAAAAATACGGCATGACAGATATTTGGGTCAATTTGGCGCTTGTGCTACAGCTCCATTTTATATTGCTGTGCCTCCCACGCCATTTTTTCAGCCCTATGCAAAGCAGAAGTGGCAAAAATTTGCATTGTTTGGCTTTTCAATTTCTTTTATTTTAGAACAGTATGAGTAGAAAAAGTAGTGTTGCATATATTTCGAGGCGCAAATTGTGAAATTGGTTGTTGTTTTTTATGCTGTTCTCGTCGTGTATTTCATTAAAATGCAGGCTGCGCTCACTTGGTAGACAATTTTTTAATATTAATGAGGCTGCCAAGTGGAGCAGAACCAGGACAAGAGTTGCTGTCAATGGCTGGTAAATGATCGCATAATAATCGCAGTGCTGGCTAATTTTTGGAGCATGCAGCTTGCCCTCTCATCTCTTTTATATTCATTTGCCTTTCACGGTATTCCTCTTGAGCTTCCGCCAGCTCCTGTTTATATCTCCGTTTTATCTCCAGCTTGAGTTCCTTCAAAAGGCGCAACCGATACGCGTACCCATCGTTAATCAATTGACGCTTCTCCTCGTAGTCCATTTTGGCTCTGCGTTTTTCCAGCGCTGCCTGCCTTAAGTGAGCATAAGGTCTGTAAGAGATTATGGAGGGGGACTTCAAAGAAAATATTGTAGTTTAGGGATTATTCAAGTTCACCTTGTTGCGTCCTCGGGCATATTGATGTTGAATAACTTTGCATTTTGCTACTAAAATTTTGATTTACATTCTATGGCTGACTTGGTTGTTTAGTAGAATCGAGTTCAGTTTAGCTTCTTAGACTAATAATGCTGATATCTGTCAGAACAGTTTACTTGATTGTGCCTAAGCCATCTAGAGACTGGGCTTTGGAAGAGTTTTGTAATTTATTTGTAAAGATATAACCGTCGGCTCTAAGCCCTACTTTTCGATTAGTTGGAATAAATTCTACCATTTTATTTTATATAATTTTAATTTTGTGAGCTGTCCACAAAAAAATGCTCCTCTCTTATTAAATTTGGCGATATCTGCATATTTGTTTCTGCAATTAATTAGTCAGTATCCCTTTGACCCTTTACGCAAATAACTGGCATTCAATCGGCGCCTGAGCATTCAAATTGGCCAACAAAGAGAACGCGTGTCAGCAGCAAAGTCAACCCGAAATAGCAACAATAGTCAAGACGCATTGATACGAATGGTATTTGGGCCATTTCCGCTTACACCCCTCCAGCCATAACAATGTCCATTCTGTGCCGCTTCAAAGGCACAAAGTTTGCCAGCACGCGGCATTTAGGCGTTTTGGCCATAACAAATCAAAGTCAGAACGAAACTCGACAAGAATTTTCACTAACAAGTTTATGCCAAAAAGTTTTTCGGCTGCGCGTGCATATTTGAACCTACATTTTGAGGGTTTATTGAGGGGTACACTGTAAAGTTGAATAGTAAATGAAAATTTCCGAATTTTCCAAAAGAAATACTCGTATATAAAATAAAAGATAAGTAAAAAATTAAATTTACAAAGAATAAATTTTAAGTAAGGAGTCATTTCTGGCTTCGACTTATCACGCTTTAGTATTTATTTGCGAGCCGACTCGTCTATCAAAAAAGGATCTTCCTTGCTCAGTAAAATTACAAGTTTATTCCGTTTACCTTTTAAAAAAATGTCCGCCATTGCCTGCGAATTTTTAACTTAACTTTAACTTACTTTAACTTTAACTTTTTAACTTAACTTTAACTTTTAATTTAAGAGCATAGACTCTCTTCCTTCTAAGGAATGGAAAGTGCACTTTTAATTATAGTATATCTGATTATTTATTTTCTAAATTATATTGCAATTGAAATTATATGCAGAGTAAACCTCTACATATTATGAAAACCGAAGAGTTATTATAGAAGTAATAAATTATAAAACGCGCTCCTTTTTATTAACAGTGCAAGCATATTAAAAACGAAACATTCAAGCCACCTGTGAGGCAAAACAATCAACTGCTTATCAACGTCATTTATTATGCAAAGATTTTGCGCAAAAATTTGCAAATTGCATGTGGCCTCAAACTAAACATGAAATTGTTATTAATGCAGGTAACAAGCTGTAGTGTGTGCGGCTGTTTTAGAGAGAAAGGGGTGGGGCGGGGTGGCGTCTAATCAAATGCGACATTCATCAAATTGGCACGCAAGCCATGAAAGCGCGCACATGCAACAAGCGGACGTAGTAATGGGGGTGTGGCACAGCATGGGTTGCTGCATGTGGGCGTCTAGGGCGTGGCCCTGTCAAGCGTTCGCTGCTGCCGTTGCAAATTAGCGCGAATGCTGCTGCCCTGCAACCAAATTGAGTTTGCGGTCTTTGCCGCCCAAAATGCGACTATAAAATATTTAATAAAATTTGCCACCGGCTGTTGCCGCTGCTAGAACTATGTACGAGTATATATCAGCCGATCCGCGACTTTTCTACAAATAATGCAACATTTGTGCAAATAGAGAATTTTTGGCTTGGGCATGCGGGCATAAAAGAAATGACTTTCTGTCTAGACAGAGCAGAACAGGCGCAACCTGTGCCGTTGTTTGTTTGCATTGACTTGGCAGGGAAGTTTTTGGGCTTACAGAGGGGACAGGGTCTGGTAGAGATTTAGACGCAGGCTAACAACTGCCAGTTGTGGGCGACATGAGCTGCATGTGTAATCGAATGCGTCCCTTGCCCAGACATGCCACACAAAGCTATTGCTGATGGAACTTTGATGTTGAAAGGCCTTGAAACACAACCACAATTTAGTTTCCGCTTTGAGGCTGTCTGTAGTCAACATGTGTAACTAAAAATTGAAGGAAAAAAATCATTGCAAAAGTGTTTGTTAAATAAAGATAGAAAACTCTGTTAGAGGCTATGCTGGCCTAAGAGTTTAGGCTTTAATTTGAATATAAATTTGATATTAATACAGCAATTGGAAAAACACACGGTCGGTCTACAAGAGACAGCTACTATATACTACACATTATTTGAAAAGCTTACATATATCAGAACTTGATTCCTACAATGATATGGCTTTCATTTTATTACACAAAAGAATATGCAACAGAGCAGCGTTGTATTTCTATGAACAACTGAGCTTTTCTACATTGCCTTTACAAGTCGGACAATTATCGTAAATAATTTGTGGTACATACCGATTGGCTTTCGATTGGCTTGGTAGCGAAAATGCTGTCAACTATAGTGTAATCAATACAAATCAATGGCCGAGCAATGGCCTCGTTATCATTAGCACCAATCGACAGCCCTAATAGAGAACATTTCGAGAATGTGGCAGCGCATTTAACATGCAAACCATTTAACTGGCACGGCACGCAAATGGACAAAGTTAAAACGCCTTCCCCCCACCGCCCCATCGCCAACAGCACACCGCGCTTTGAAATGGGTGTCATGTCCAACTAATGCGCAGCTAATCCACGCACACTGATCATACCTTTTTAGTTTGGCTTGCCACGAATTATTACAATTATTTCTCCCGTCCTCAATGCTTGACATATCGACTGGATATACACACTACACGCATATGCAGCATTGTCGCCCGGAACGAGCAAAATATTCAGAACGTCAACGGAAACGGAATTGATTATCGGCAATGCGCTTTTATCTATTTGCGTGTGTGTCGGCGCCGTTGGCGCCTGACTGCTGCCGACCGCCAACCTGCCTTTTTTGAATTCCAAATTGAACAACTTCATTTATACATGTTTATTCTCAAAAAAGCTCTGATGCAAAATGAAAGTCACAAGCCGCGTTCGAGCAGACTTATTAAATGGCCTCTGATAATATGAACTAACTAGCCATGATTATCTAAAAATACTTACAATACTTGTATAACGTGTATTTTTGCATATGCAGGAAGAGTAAGATAGAATATTTAGGCGTATTTATTTGTTATTTCTCAGCGCTGATTGAATAGTATTTCGATGTATTTCGAACTTAAGTTTATTTCTGCGATAAAATCAAATATTTAAAATTTTAAAAACTAATATTTCTGGCATTATTTTTGTTTCATTGAGTGCTTATTTCACCTTTGATTCAATTATTTATATATAATATTTGAATAAATATATTAGATTAGATCTTTTACATCGTCCGGTATTTAATGGCACCCTCTCCATCAGGAGAAACATATTTGTATGCAATTACTGTTAGTATTCGTACTCCTAGTAGCTTAAGGATTCTCAAAGTCAAGTCAAATAAATTCAAATTTATCGATAAGGATAAGGATAATTGGTATTTGTCCGTATAATTACAGAAGTTTTGAACCAAAAATAATACATTCTTTCGTGAAGTCCTATAGTCCAAGGTTTTCTATATTGAAACGCATAATACAAGCAAGCAAACATCCTGCTTTTGTTCTTCAATTAGGAAGTTGCTAGTGGAAATGACATCTTATGTTTTGAATGGTTTCAACAGTACTTATTCATGAATACTTCCATAAATATTATTATAACTCTACTTATACGTAACATATTTGTTTCGGAAAAATTTTGATTAAATAAATAAATCGTGCCAAAATGTGATTTTGATTTTTTCTGTCAAGTAGGCATTGCCATTTCTTACTTCACCTTATAGTTAGTTTAAATTCAAAATTTGCTGTAAACTCTAAAAAAGGCACCCCAAAATATTGAATTATTCGAGGTCCACAATGGCGAATCCAAAGGCGTAAGTTCGCGTACCACTTTAAAGAATAGTCTTGGTCTTAATGTCTTTCATTCAATACCTCTCTAACAGGACGAAAACTTCCAAAACTGGTCTCAAATTTAGCACCGCCTTAGGTGATCCAGAAACCAAGCGCAAATTGCTGCTCTATCGGGAGCTGCTGCGTCAAGAGATGCGTAAAGAGCTGGAAAAGCCTCGAGTAATCAGAAAGGTGCGGGTGAAGCCGGAAGAAGCACAGGCCTTTGCAACATGGAAGCGCCTCCATGTAGAGCCTCGAACCAGCATCGACATATGGACGATGCCGAACATGAGGCCCAAATACCAATAAATACGGCAATGTTGCCGAGTTAGAGTTTACAACGTTTGTACAATTTTCGGTCAATAATAAATTGAAATAAAATTTTCATATCAACCAAAATGAAATGAAATTTTCGCTTTGCACGAATATTCTGCTCAGAGCTTAATTAACATGCTAAATAAATAACTGGAAACAGTTAAAAGTTATGCGAGCAAAAACTGTTGATCCAGGAACGAGGCGTTACGGCTCAATGTGCAAATATGGCCAGACTGTGCAGTCTGGCAACGCCAAACCAACCATTTGTTAGTCACAGCAATTTTTGCGGTTTTATCAGTTCATAATAAAGTGTTTGCCATACAGCAAAAAAGAGAAGTGAAGTCAAACAGCAAATATCAACAATATTGGCAGACAGGTAGTGCGACTGCCTGGTAAACACCGAGGGAATATAAATAGTTATGCAGTATGCTCTGGTGCACCGAAGCTTTTATACCCTTTTAAGGCTTCCAAGAGTAGTATGCACATAAGAAAGGGTTCATTTTTTTAGAGTAGTATCCCCAAACAATAAAAGGGTATAAAACTGTTGTACCAGCTGAGAATACCATGTAACTTTTTATATACCCGCGGTTATAGCCTAATAGTTATATAGTAACCACATAAATTAAATCCTTTAAAATTGTATGCTAAATCTAGCGGAATTACACGGCAGTTGAAAATTGGGTTCTTCAATTCACGTACTTCATGTCCATGTAGTGGATCCTTTGGGAAAGCTTTCTTGACAAGGTTAGAAACCATAAGCTTAATTAGACAAGGAAAATATATGGGGCTAATTAGCCTTTGCTCTTCTTTCGACAAAAACATAGAATGCAATATCGAAGAGTTTTAGGCTAACAGTGAAAAAGGCTATGGATAAATGATGAGGTGCCCTTTTCAGTGTCATTTCATTTTTATTTGTTTCTCAAAAGATGGCTTCTCAGCAAAGCAAAAGGACTAATTACTTAACAAGTTAGTCAGCCCGAGCAGAGCTTGTAGCAAAATGTTCTCATATTTTCCATGGTTTCAAACCTCCTGACAAATTCCGCCATATCCAAGACTGCCCTTTTTCAAGGGTATAACAAAACACAACAAAACAGAGGAGGCAAGCCGTCAAAATGGCGTCGACCAGCAGCGGCTGTGTGTTGGCTTTTAATTGCCGTCAAGTGCCAACTGTTACATTTCGAACTTTTATTTATTTATGTAAATTTATTTTGTTTTTATTTTGGCTTTTTCCCAGCAACACAATATTTGTCGCCAAATTGGCAGAAGTGCTGCAAACTTTGCCGTTTAGTTTGCAAACCAACAACAAAAAAATAGAACAGCATCAGAAATACGAAAAACAGTTTACCAGCTGCAGCATATAAATTGGAATTGTTTTGACTGACTGTCAATTTGTGTGTATAGTACTTAAAACTGGTACCAAAAAATAATATTTTGCATCGGCTAATTGCAGACAGAGCGAAAAAAAGTTGTCACTGATCTAAACAAATTTCATTAGGCAGACACACACATGCTATATAGTATGTATGAACTATATGTGGAAAAGTAGGCCACTTGGGAGCCCCTTAACTATGACTACGTCTGCACTCGATATATAGGGAATGTTTTGACCACAGCACGTGCCATTATTCGAATGGTCGGCCAGCCAATTCCCAGGCGAATGGTCGGAAAAACTTTTGCCTGCAACTTTTCTGGCTATTTGTGGACAGCAGCTCGGGGTATTATGACAATTGCCAAAGCACGCAGCAAAAGTGGAAAAAAGAATGTTTCTATGGCCGTGTTAGATACGTGCAAAAGTTTTGTGGCACGTACTTGGATCCAGGCCTGGTTTTATGGGCTGTGAGGTGCGGGCAGACGGTTTTAACTGAATTTAGTTGCTGAAGAAAAGACAGTTATTGCTTAGTTATGATTTTGCTGGCCTATAATTAACTTCTAATTTTCTATATGCGCGAGTTATAATTGGACAGCGGCAAAATAAAAAGCTGCATCATAATTATTTTCGAATGGAGAAAGTCTTGTAGCAGTAATTGGGTATGGGTTGATTGGGTGTAAAGTCAGCCTTCTGGATGATCGAACGTGGACTACCCTTGTGCTGCAGCCAATAGCGCCTGGGGAGTAAGGTTTATTTTAAGCATAAAGACAAAGTTGCTTCGAAGAACTAACATATCCGTAATCTGCTCGAGTGGCCCCTCCAACACTCCCTTGACAGTGCCGTGGGTCGTGTTCATACACCAGCCGTGCAGGCCCAGCTTACGTGCCTGGGTCAGAGTGTGCTGTGGAAAAATGGTTAGGTTTGGAAGTCTATAAAACAGTAATGCCCATTCAGAAGTACCTTCCGGAAAAAGACGCCTGTGAAAGAAATGCATTCATTATTTGTGCGTTCATAAAACTCCTGTTTACTTACCCTGCACTTTGCCAGAAATCTCAAAGTTGACGGACCATATTGTTTTCTGCTTATCCGAAATGGGTTTTTTGCTCAATGAGCTTGCTAGGGATGTTGTTTCCCGTTGCAGCTCTAATTTGGAGTCTTTAATTTTGTTTGCCATTGTAAAGAAAGTAAAAAATGCTTGAGTATTTTGGCTACGAAAAAATAAACTGAACCGTATTGTGTATAGATTTAGAATGTTTTGTGTGAGACCTGGCAAATGCATCTGTTATGACAAAAAATGGAAAGCCGACTTGCAGAGTAATACAAAGAAAAACTGAAATATTTGACAGCAAATCTCCATGAATCTTTACACATATATTTTTGAAACTTTTTATATAATAAATAATATTTCAGCTCTTTATATGTATATTACAAATTACTTTTAAACGTTACATAAAAGATGATATAGATAAATAGAGATGACACTGTTTTTAATTTCCAAATTATCATGACTAAAGATAATTGAAACATTTTGAAATAGATGGTTCAAGGATATCATCGTATATTATCATAGTTATCATCTGTTTCAGGGAAATAACATATATTTCGAATATTCTTAAAAAGATATTGCCAGAAGCTCTTATTAGAAAGCAAGTCATTATTAGTGAATAAATAAAGCAGCTTCACCTTTAACGAATATTAATAATTTTCAAATAGGATTGGATTTAATGCTCAACGTTTTATGTTCATATTTCAATTAACTTTTTAGCGTGATTATCCACTTTTCAAAGGCAATTTGTGCCAAAAAAAAGAACTACAATAATTAGTGAACGAATCAGTGTTCACGTTCAATATTCCCCCATTCGTGGGTTGAATTTGAGCGTGATCATTCATTTTTAATAGGGGTGTATACGACATAGAAGTAGTTGCTTAATTTAAGTGATTTCCCCACAAGTGCAGGCAGTAAATTACATTTTTGGCACATCAAAAAATTAAAAACAATTTTTCCAGTCTTTTTACCAAAATGCTCATGATTTCGTATTGGGGTTGGGTAAGTCATCAGTGATGTGTCTGCCTGCTGGCTGCCGCTTCATTTTTAGCGCTTCCGCTTCGTTAGGTTTAACGGTAACGCGGTCGCAGCACGATGTTAAGAAAAAAGGTAAACGCACGAAAAAGTAGTGGAAGACGCGCCACGCAATGCACACTCGAGTGTGGCTGTACTGTGGCCGCAGAGTCGAAGTCTCGCCTGTCGGTGGAGACTTCAATAAAACGTTTCGAAGTTATGGGCGCAGGGCAAACTGACATTTTCCATTAGGTGCAGACAGCTCAAAGAGAGCTCTGCCAGGCTGTCGTTTCTTTTTTATTTCCTTTTAAGGGTGAGCAAAACGTTTTGGCCAAGTTTTATGTTCGGAAATCGTGGGTCTCTGCGTTTGTGTGTGTGTGTGTGTGACTCGCATTGCTTTCTCGTTTGCCTCGCTTGTTGATTATGTTGTGCGTTTTTCCTTGCAAGTCCTAAAAGCTTGTTCGCATTTGATGAGTGCACGACACGCACGTTGGCAGTATGGCTACTGGCTACTGCACATTATGGCCATTTTGATGGCCTGCTTTTAGGCAACGACTACGTGGCCACATTAGCAGCTTCAAGGCACCGTCTAATTGTAGTTTGAACATTAATTAAAGCTTACCGGAGGACTGCAAGCGTTTAAAACACAAACTTGTCTGACAAAATCAACTCGAGCTTCTATGAGTAGCAAGAACTTTTTGGCAGGACGGTTTAAGCATCAAGGTGTCATCAACAGGCGGACACTGAGAGGCCAGTTGACAGCATTTGCAAGCTTTAAACTTCCGCTTTCCAATGACTTTGCAAGCCAGGCAGGCTCTTGTCGTTTGGTCGGCCGGTCCGTCTGTCGGTTGATGCCAACAAGAAGTAACGAGGACGCGATGGCGAAGCTAACTGCGCCTTGGCTTCTTATCATTTGCGACAAATTCGCCGACAACTTTACTACGATAATATTTATTTTGAAAATATGCTCGAGCGCTGCTCTATTGCGCTGCGCTACTTGACGCTTCTGGGCGCATCGTTGCTTGTCCCTTTCGTACAGTGGTGCAAAAATAGTTTGTTAAGAAAAATACAAAACACCTCCTCCATTCTATGGCAGCGTATTTTAATTCTTTGGAAATGGTATTTCGTTCTATTTATATCAAATTAGGTGTCTCTTCAGTTAATATTTTAGCTTCAGTTCTATAAATATTAAGATTGTTTTGGATGTTGTTTTATGAAGTTTGGATCTGTTTTGTTCCAGTCGTAGTTTCTCATATTTTTTCCTTTATGTTTCAGTTTCGAATAACAGTTCTATTTCGTTTATCCTTTTGGATAACTTCTGTACTTATTCTGTGTCTATTGCGTTTTGGTTCATTCTGTTCCATCTTCCTGTTGCATTTGCCCGTTTTTTTTTGTTTAGTTTCCCTACATTTTGTCTTAAAAGTTTGTGCGTCCTGCTTTTGACCACCGTGCATTAGCTTTCTTCTCTTGCTTGCCATTTTGAAGTGTTGCCAATGTGGAAAAGTAATCAAAATATTTTGTCAGCTTCAGTTGCAGTTTAAGTGAGGCGAACTTTTTGGCCGGATGGGGCCTTGACTCGCATTGTGGTCGCTTAAAGTACATCTTCAACTTGAAAATGAAAAGCCAAATTGTTGCTGCAATTGGCATGGGGAACAAGAAGGAGAAAATTAAAATTGTAAACGCTTTGGCAGTTAAACTTTTCGACTTGAAGCACTTTGCAAAAATTTGTTAGCACTTTAAACTACTTGATGTCTGACACACACAAGCACATCATATATGTATGTATGTGCATGCCTATATACGCTTTTGACATTTATGCAATTTGATTTTTGCCGCACGGAAAATTAAATTTGCACAACCCCAAAAAGTATGCTATGTTTTTGCGCCTGCAGCGGAAGCTTTGCTGTTTGTCGTTTTAAGTTAATGGCGTGCATGTGTGCACCCCAGCGACGTTTTCGAACAATTTCGCGCAAAAATTTGTTACAAATTGGAATAACAACAACTGCAACAACAATGCGAGATTTGCATAAAATTTCCATATGCGTTTTTGGTTGCCAATTTAAGCGCGAAAAACGAAAGCAACTCGTTATAAATTTGCATAAAAAATGTCGCTGCTGTTTATTTTCTCAGTTCCTTCTTTTTAACCTGCGCAGTTTTAACAAATTTTGTTGGTCATATCAAGAAATGAAAAAATATTCCAATTGCGAACAGGGGACGGGGGAAGTCCCAAGTGAAATATAAATTGCACGGCCCTAAATTTTTAAAAGGCAATTCGCCTTTGCACCGTGATGGGGGCCAATGGTTAATGTGTCCAGTGCTGTTAACACTCTAGTACCCATCTATGAGACATTGTTCAAAATTTGCATTTACGTGTGACGGTAACTCCTGCCCTAAGTACTTGGCACCCGCATAGAACAAAAGCAAGTTTAAGTCTGTTAATTTATTTGGTGTCTAAAACCCAAGCAGCCCTCAACCAATTTTCATTAAAGCGCATAAATTGTTGTTTATGGCACCCATTCTACAAACAAAAAACCACACGCACAGATAGACACATACATATATACACCTTTTTGTGCGCTTTGCCCGCCTCGACTTCATTTCATATTCATGGACGCGCAATTCGCAACTCCTTTTTACCAGCCATCCGGAGGTTTTTGGTGTTAATAAAGTTTGGCAATTATCTTGCTGCCTGTTGCTGGTAGCCGTTGTTGTAATGCCTCGGCTTTGCTGGGACAAATAATGTATGTATGTATTTGTGGGAGAGTGTATGTGGGCTATTGTCCCTAGTCCGTGTGCAGATAAGTGAGCCTTTATGTTAAGCTGAGGGGCATTTTGGTAGCACAGCTGCTTTGATTTAGCATAGATTGGCAAAAAGTTCCGGCAACTTAAAGCCTTTAAATACCTCCAAAGCATATGTTAAAACCTCATAAGCTTAAAACTGTTTGGCAACAAATATAAGCTGTTCAACTTAAAATGTTAAAAGTACATTTATGTATATAAATTATTAAGTAAACTTAAACAATTCCAAACATCTGAATATTGAATGAAATGCTAATCATAAAAGATCACAAGCTGTTGAGCTAGTTGAAAAAAAGTGTGAATAATTGCAATTTCAGAGACATTGTGGAAGAAGGCTTTTTTTTTTTAGTAATTAGTGAAATTAAAGAAAAGAAAACATTGCAAATGTGTTCATATGAATTAACTTTTCACTTTCTATACGTAAATCTTGAAGACCATTTATAAATCAATATAATGAACTTTGAATTAAAATGGAGAAATATTAATATGATTTGAATATGGAAGTAAATGTTACAAATTACTGAATATATTAGAATACTGTTAGTTTTGTGACATTGATTATTAAGTAGTAGAGATAGTTGTAAGAGCTTTTAATATCTCTTAGAAATGGTGTTAAGTATTAGAGTAGTCTGTTAGAAAGTTCATCATTTCATCCTTCTTTGGTTGTTCTATCATAATACTTGTAGATTTGGACATATATACAACTGAGGTCGTTGCTTTCCTTTTCTCAGAGTTTTATTTGTTTCATATAAATCCGATAGATTATAAATGTTAGAAATCGGTCGAAAAGGTTAAAACGCTCTTTATTGAATTTCGACCATAATATTTTTACTTATGAATAAAATGCTGCGTTGTGTAATCAATAACACAACTGTCATAAGTGATTTCTTTTTTGGCCATTCGAGCGTAAAATGATTTGTAAAAATATTTCCTTAGGTAAGCAGTACGAGTTGAAAGTGAAAAATTATGCCAGCTAATGGGCGGATGGGCAAGAGAAACATGACATGTTGGATGCTGCTCAGTGCGCTTCAATGGCTTTTGGGCCTTCGATGAAATATGAAGAAATATAATTCACAAAATGGCGTACATCAATGTCAGCTTAAAACGTATGAAGCGGCCAAATCACAGACATGACAGCCACACACGACTTCAAACACCTTCAGGAGCTTAGCATCGTCAGACGAAACCCTAAGATGACGCATAAATTGTCGACATATACGGAAAACGACAAATGGTATCCAGAGCGCGAGAGCGCCAGAGTTGTTCCACCAAAGACGACGCCCAAGTGATTTGCGGTACACAGACCACATCAAACATGCTTTAGAGGGGTGGTGGGGTTGTGTATAGACTTGGGTTCGGACTGATATATCGGGCGTGCTGCTGGTATGTGTGT